CTGCTAGTTCTGAGCCCTTTGCTCTTCTCTAAAAGTTTCTCGCCCCCCCCATACTTTTATTGAGTAAAATTAAAGGTTCTGTAGCGAAGTTCCAAAGGCAAACACTGTCCAAACCATAGTGGAAAACTGAATCTCGTCCACTTTAGTCAAGTGGGCAGTAATCTTGCATGCTTTTGTTCAAATGAGCTTTCTAGTCTAATTTTGCAGTCATCAGACGAAAGTCATCTTCTGATAATTCATTCTAGGAAGTCTAGGTTTCAAAGTTAGGATTCAAACATTTATACTAGCAGGGCGGTGGTGGCACACGTCTTTAATCCCAGCACAGGCAGAGGCAGGCGGATCTCTGTGAGTTCAAGGCCAGCCTGCCCTACAAGAGCTACTTCCAGGACAGTCTCCAAAGCTACAGAGGAACCCTGTCTCGAAAAACCAAAAACAGAAAAAAAAAAAAACATTCTATACTGCAGGGTAGTTCCTTAAGCAAGGAGGTAAACAACCAATAGTAGTAACAGTAGCTCTAGGTTCTTCCTTGCCAAAGCAAGCAGAGTACAGCTGCAAAGAAGACTCCCAAATAAGAGATTTAGGCCAAATGAGGCACCGGGAAAGGACACTTTCCAACCTGTTGAGCTGTGCTCCAAGTCTGCAGCTTTTGTGAGCTGTCACCCATGCTGGGGTGGACTTCAGTGACACAGCCGTCTCTGAGTCATTTCTGTGCCCATAAGTAACCTCTCACTCGTATTCCTATGAGTGACTGCAACAAAACGCGTGGGTTCACCAAGCTGGACGTCGGTGGCATCCGTTCTTTCTAGGTTTCCTATCTGGGGTGAGTAGACATTTATGCCATGTCTCCCCAGGAAAGAAGGTTCTGCCACACAACAGCAGTTAACATCTTATATTTATTATTCTACTTGCTATAGAATTGACATGGTTGATTTTGTAATTTGAAATTTTTTTATATTTTTATTTATTATGTACACAATATTCTGTCTGCAGGCCAGAAGAGGGCACCAGACCTCATTACAGATGGTTGTGAGCCACCATGTGGTTGCTGGGAATTGAACTCAGGACCTTAGGAAGAGCAGGCAATGCTCTTAACCTCTGAGCCATCTCTCCAGCCCCCTTGTAATTTGAAATTTAAAAATATTTTTAAATGTGTCACCTTTATATTGAATCTTAATAACACCTTCAGACAGGTCAGGGAGCCCACATGAATTCTGCCCTATAGAACAAAATATATCTGTATAACTCTCTCTACCCAGTGAAGACATTAATGGGACCCCACTATGTAGCAGTTCACCTAACTTGTTCTAAAATGCAATTTATTCAGCTAAATCATTTATTTAGAGAGAATGTTTGCTGCATAATTTAGGAGGAAAGTAATATTCTTTTTGAGTTAATGCCATGTTAACAATTGTTTATAAATATTTAAATGTGAATGCAAGAAAGATAGCATCACAATAGATATGTTACATGCATCCCTCGATGCCCATAAAATTAAATAAAATTATACTAACATTCATGAGTGAAACAAAATAACCTTTATGAACTGAACTTAATGTTTGCCTATTTAATTCCATTTAGACCATGAATCTTTCATGAAATAGTCCTTTTTGGGTATTAGTCACACCTTCCAAGAATAAATCATTCTCATGTCACCTTGGCTTCATCAAACTTTCAGGAGGAATAAAAACCCTCCAAGACCATGTACAACAACGTCACTTTATAAATTATATTTGATCCAGACACAATAATGAATATAAAGAGTATTTTAAAAGTCAAGAAAAATAAATTTCCATCCACCTCAGCTGAATGTAAATGTCTGGCATAGGAAGCACACAGTGCAGCAGCCCAAGACAAAACCAAAGGGTAGCAATATTAAGGTATTATTGTTCTCACCATTATAAAATCATATTTTCAAAGACTGCTGTAGCTTTTAAAATGATATCACAATATTTTTTCAAAAGAATTAACTCGTTTCTTTGAAAAGTTTAAACATATCCTAAGAGTTTATTGAATAATGGTAATATTTAGCTTCTGCCTTGACTGTAACCAAATATTGACTTGCCATTAATACTAGGTCATTTGGCATTTGGGCAAAAATGTTTTAGGTAGATCGCCTAGTGGAAATATCATATTGGATAAACAGTAGTGTTTTACTGCAAAAGGTCAGTCAGGAACACTAATAAGCAAGTGAAGACTTGGAGAAATTTTCATAATAAATGTGCCTGTCTGTCTGAATACTATATACTACCAGCCTGTTAGTTCCTCAGTGGGTGGAATTGAAACCAAAAGTCAGATCTTAGGCAAGAGACACAGAGAACTTCACATAAGTTTTATTACAGTATTAACTGCTCTATTTTATTATTGTTGACAGTTCCCTACTGTGACTGATTTATGAGTTAAAGTTTATCACAGTCCTGTATCTACTGGAAAAGACATAGTCTATATAAAATCCACTACTATCCACATGTTAGGTTCCCGCTGGAAGAATTTAAGAACTTATAACTAAAGTAGAATCTCTCTCCAACAAAACTAGGTCTGAACCAGAAATGGTTGTCTTAAGCAAGCACACTAAGGTGTTTTCTGCATATCTGAGGATCACGTTTTTAAAAGACATTAATAGGAAAGGATTTCGAACTTGCTCATCACTATTCTAAGGTGCTTTTGTTCTTTTGTAAGGAGAGGAAGAGGGCTAATTGGCAGGCAAATGCAGAACTTGAAAAAGACTGTGTTGTAGTTCAGTAAATTAAAAACAAGAAGAAAAACCCTAGAATATGACTCAAGTCCTTTGTGGTGTCCCACATCTTTCTAGAGCTACACGATGTCTAGAAGTTAGATCTAGAGTGAAAGACGTGAGCTTTTTTTAAAAAAAATATATAAAGCTTTCATTGTTTTACAAGGCTGGGACAATATTTCTTTGTGATGAGAGTATGTTCAGGCAGGGAGTGTGCACAACAGGACAAAGGAAAAATCAAAGCAGAAAATAGTGAGAAATTATACTTAAGGACCACAAATCCAACCCTACTACAATTTCTCATGATTTCAAATTCCTAATTGAATTTTCAGTTAAATGAAAGCAGCCATCATCTCAGGAAAGTGTTGGGATTCAGATCAGGGCTAACTTTTTAGAATACCTTAGTTCTAATTCCATAAACCTATAAGTTGAAACAAAATGCCAAATACAGGCAATGCATTTCAATCACATTATAAGTCATTGAAAAAAATGATTCTTTCAATCTTTGACCAAAACTGGATCTGGGACAGATTCCAGGCAGAGACAAAAAACGCAAAATCCATACTCTCCATTCTTTGATCATTTTACCTTACAATGGATACCCCATGTGGTTAACCAAATTCGAAAACTTCTGGTTCATTGTCTTCATCTAACCAAATTGACTAAGTAACTTGTACATTATTTAAATTAGATGTGTGTCTTCCTATTTTTAACCCAGTATGTATGTTTCTTCTGTCTGAAACTATGGACAGAAAAACATCTATAAAATTGAATCAACCTTCCAATTGGTTTGAAGAGGAAGCTGGGCACAGCTGTCATGGAGAGTCAGCCAGCTCAAATGATCCAGGTTAGTGGTAGGATTGGGCCTCCAACCCAACAGACTTTGTTAAAATAAAATAAAATAAAATAAAACTCAGGAATTCTTCTGAAACACTGAGTCATTTAGGATGGGCTTTAGGATGAGGAGATACAATAGTGACTCTGTATCTGACCTAACAGAAATGAAGATATTCCTTTGTTTCCCTCATCTGAAACAACTGACCCCAAGAAATGGGAATCTCCATGGGGACTCTTGTGCTGTGAGAAGGAAAAGTCTCAGAGCCTAGAACACATGGGGGAACTTAATTTGTCGTCTGGGAAAGAGATTTCATAGTCCTAACACCTTGCAGAATAGGACTGAAGCCTAGAAAAAGAGGGGTCGGTGGTGAGCAGTAACATTCATTAACGTAGGTTGGTGAGAATTTGGTGGTTCGCAATGTGTTGGTGGGTCGAATGACCTTTTCACAGGGGTCACATCAGATATTTACATTACGATTCATAAAAGTTGTAAAATTACAGTTATGAAGTAGCAATGAAAATAAATTTATGGTCGGGGACCACAGCATGAGGAACTGCACTGAAGGGTCGCAGCATTAGGAAGGCTGAGAATCATCACCTTAGACTTCTGTTTCATTTCAGGACCTCAGAGATTGACAGCAGAAATGGCTGCTCACTGGATCTCTTCAGCCTTGTTTTCCATTGGGCCACGATAATCAAATCTTTTTACTGTTAATTTGGCTGTTTTGTGTTCTCCAGAACAGGCTTATGGGGTAGAGACTGTGACCTCGAGTTGGGTACACAGACCTTCTTGCCGTGACACGTGGCTCTTTGATAGGGTCGATTCTTAGGGGTGTGGTAAAATACCTGTGACCATCAGGCAGTCAGGGCTGGGTTCCAGACGCTGAAGAACCACGTGCCCTTAGCAAAGGTGCTTTGCTTCCTTAAAGATTAGCAGCCAGCCAAACTTGCCAAGGGGCAAGGATGTCCAACACTGGCTCCATTCCCTCTCTTGAAAATTAAAAACATTCAATGGGATGATACACAGCAAATGGCAAATTACAGAGTGCCTGGAGCAATGGCGTCATCGCTGGTTATTTTCTTATTACTAAGTGCCAGGCAACAAGCTGCACAAAGCAACAACTTTTTTATTTCAGCTCACGGCTGCTAACCTGCCAGCCCGCGCGAATTTGCGAAGCTCCGCCCCCTAAGGTTTGCGCCAGGACGTGGAAGTGGGCGCTCCTCTGAGAGGGACGTAAACCAGAGAGGCGGGGCGTGTACTTCCGGGCCGAAGAGGCTTCGCTTCCGGGGATACGGGCATCTAGGAGTGCGGAAGAGAAGCTGGCGCCGCCGGGTCCTGGACGGGGGCTTAAGCAGGGATGAAGATCACCAGGCAGAAACACGCCAAGAAGCATCTTGGCTTCTTCCGTAACAATTTCGGAGTCCGTGAGCCCTACCAGATCCTTCTGGACGGCACGTTCTGCCAGGCGGCGCTGCGGGGTCGCATCCAGCTGCGGGACCAGCTGCCCCGCTACCTAATGGGAGAGACCCAGCTGTGCACCACGAGGTGGGCCTGCTGGGCGGGGTCGCGGGTGTGGCCCTCGGTAACTGACAGGTCTGGCGGGTGGTACTGTGCCCTGCCTATAGTCCCACAGAACGCGTGTTTTGTAGCAGGCAGGCCTGGCTTTGATTCCTGGGTGATTTCAGGCAAGAAATGACGTTAATCGTGAAATAGAGGGAACCATTTCTTCCTTTAAAAAAATTGATTTATTTATTTTTATTTCACGGACATTGGTTTGCCATTATGAGGTGTTGGATCCCTTAGAAGTGGAGTTATACACAGTTGTGAGCTGCCATGTGGGTGCTGGGAATTGAACCCAGGTCTTCTGGAAGAGCAGTCAGTGCTCTTAACCACTGAGCCATCTCTCCAGCCCCAAGGGAATAACTTCTTAAAAGTTGCTGTCAGGTCAGATGAGGTATAGTGTACACAGTGCATTTTTCAATATACGAATGCTACCCCCTCTCTATAGTGGTTGGTACTTTTAAATTTAACGCAAAGGTTTTCAAGCCTTCCAACTGCCAGTGAGGTATTACCTTCAGTTCCTAGGAAAAGAAGTCAAGACTGGAGATTGAAACCTTTGCCCGTTTATAAGTACCAATCAAATGTCAAGCGCTGCTCCCGAACTGAGAACACTTCGTGGGCAGGACAGAGGTCCAGCCTTCGTGGACTGTAAGTGTGTAAAGTCAACTCTCAGTGGCTGTTTTCATCCCACATCTGTGCCTCCTTACTTCATGTAAGTGAGCACACTTAGGGCAGAACACTGGGAGCAGGAGGGTGGGGGTGTAATTTTAAAAGGTTTCAGTCAGTCGATGTTTGAGTCCCTAGGTTCGTTCAGACCTGGGGGGCACGGGACTGTTTTGCCAATATAAAAATGGTGCTGTCGATTGAGAGAACTTTTGAACAAATGCAGTCGGTTGACCTCTGAAGAACAGGTTGTATCTAATATTGTGAAACATGAAAGTACCGTGAACTAAAGCTAGACCATGAACAACTCTTAAGAACTTTAGTGGTTTTTGCATTATAGGATACTTGCATAAGCAAATAAACTGAGTCATACTGTTACAGCTCATGAATAGCTGGTTTGAATGTTCTTTATGTGTGAATACAAACCTAGCTGTGCCGTGTGCTGTGGTAATGTTCTGTCTTGCAGTGAATAGTCTTCCGTATTAAGAATTTCTCATGCATGCCTTTAATCCCAGCACTCAGGAGGCAGAGACAGGAGGATCTCTGTGAGTTTAAAGCCAACATGGTCTATAGGGCTAGTTCTGAAATAGCTAGGGCTGTTACACAGAGAAACCATGTCTTGGGGGAAAAAAAGAAAGAATTCTCAAGTAATGCTCCTTCTGGGTTACAAATAGCCTTAAAACTTTAACCCCAGGCTGGAAAGATGGTTTACTGAAGGTGAGGTCTCCTTCTTATTCTTGCAGAGGACCTGAGTTGAGTTCCCATCATCTGTGTCAGGAGTCTCATAACTGTAACTCCAGCTCCAGGGGATCCAACTTGCTCTTGTGGCCTCTGCGACCACCCACACCCACACATAAACTCACAGTTTTTTGTTTTGTTTTTATTGTTCGAGACATGTTTTCTCTGTGTAGTCCTGGCTGTCCTGGAACTAGCCTTCTAGACCAGGCTGACCTTAAACTCAGAGATCCACATGCCTCCAGGGTGCTGGGATTAAAGGTGTGCGCCACCATAAGCCAGCTACTTTGGGAATTTTTCGAACAACACAGAAGTAGAATGATGCAGGAAAACATTGATACCCATTGTTTGCAGGTACCGGGATGCTCATTCTTGTTGATCCGTCTCTTCCCTACCTTCTTACTCAAGTTAGAGCATCTCCCCTTCATTCTTTGTTGTTTAGCAGCTATTTATTTATTTATGTATTTTGAAACAGGGTTTCTCTGTACCTTTGGAGCCTGTCCTGGATCTAGCTCTTGTGGATCAAGCTGGCCTCGAAATCTAAGAGATCCGTGCCTCTGCCTCCTGAGTGTTGGGATTAAAGGCGTGCACCACCACCGCCCATTTTATTTTTTATTTATTTTTTATTCATTCTTCTCCCATTTAGTATATTCCAACTGGAGTTTCCTCTCCATCTGTTCCTCCCAGTTCTCCCCTTTCCTCCCCTCTTCCCTAGTTCTATTCTTCCTGTTTCCCTTCAGATAAGAGCAGGCCTTCAAGGGGTATGAACCAAACACAGCATAACAAGATACATTAGGACTAGGCACAAACCCTCATATCAGGGCCAGACAAGGCAACCTAGTAGAAGGAAAAGAATTCCATGAGCAGGCAAAAGAATCAGAGATACCTCCATTCCCACTGTTAGAAGTCTCACAAAAACACTAAGGTAACGACTATAACAAATGCAGAGGACCTAGCACAGACCCATGCAGGCTCTGTGATTGCCGTTTAGTCTCTGAACCCCTGTGAGCCATACTTAGTTCATTCTGTGGGCTGCGTTCTCCTTGTGTCCTCAACCCCTCCGACTCCTACAATTTTGAAGAACCTTTTTAAAATCAGGATTCAAATAAGATAACACAAATTGCTTTGGATTCTGTGTTAGGATATTTTGAAGTTGTACCAGCAACCTGGAGACCTCTTCAGGCATCTGGAAGGCTGACTGTATCTGGTACCTCTTGTAGGCTTGAGGATAAGTTAGAAATTAATTCAGTTTATCACCTAGCTTCTGGAGTCATTTGGAGTTAAGCAATAACCCGTAATGAGCACTTTCCTTGCTTCTTGTACACACTAGGGCTCAATATATTCTGGCATTGATATTCCTTCTGCTTAGAGTATGTAATTTTCAACCCTTCATTTAAGAAGAAAATGGCAGCAGTACTATAAATTCACATTTTGATGGTATAGTTTTGCATTGTAAACACTTGCATATTGTGTTTCTGTTTGCTTTGTATACACACAAGGAGTGTGTCAGTTGTGATCGTGAACTTCTCTTGACTTTGTTTCCCACCAGATGTGTGTTAAAGGAGTTAGAGACTCTGGGAAAGGAACTATATGGAGCAAAGCTGATCGCACAGAAGTGCCAGGTTCGAAATTGTCGTCATGTCAAGAGTGCAGTGAGTGGATCAGAGTGCCTCCTGTCCATGGTGGAGGAGGGAAACCCTCATCATTATTTCGTGGCAACACAGGTGATGGTACTTTGGAAACTGCGGTTCTGAGTGCTTCTGTGTATACTTCACGTGATCAGAAAGAAATAAGTGGAAGGGATAATGCAGTGTTGGCGTTTATTTACTCACTGTGATGTGTTAGACAAGGATGCTATCACTTAGCTATAATCCATGTTTCATGTTTGGACTTCCAAAAATGCAGACTTATCAATGGAGCCAGTAAAATATGTTACTCAAGTGTATGAGGAGAAAACTTAAGTAAACTTCCAGAAGTTTCCCTCGAGAGGATGAGGAATTGTTGCAGTAGCTGACTGCTGCAGGGTTCTTCAGTGGGAAGGAGGGCAGAGCCTTTACATTCTGTATTCATAACTGTTTTCATGTTCTTTAGTTTATACGATTTCTCCAAAAGTCATGGTGCTTATCCTGTAAGGCTGACTTCAAGGGGCTGGAGGGGTGGCTCAGTAGTTAAGAGCACTGGCTGCTCTTTTAAAGGACTGGGGTTCAATTCCCAACACCCTCTTTTGGCCTCCAAGGACATACATGAGGTGCAAAGATGTACATGTAGCTAAATATCTATACACATAAAGACAAATGAACCTTAAAAGAAAGAGACCGGCAACACATGGAATGTTGAAGGCATTTAAAGGCTGGGAGGTAAAAGGAGAGGTGTCAGGGCTGATATCAAAACACTCCCATGCAGATTTGCTCAACTATACTTCCAGAATGACCTGAGTCAGCTCACTTCTCCACGTCAGCCTCCTCCCACGTTGATGTTTCCAGCTAATATTTTAGGATAGAAACAAGAGAAACTTCCTAATGCATTTTCTTTTGCATTAGTTGATAGTTCATGGCCCCAGTGTTGAGCAGTCTAGCCCAGACTGATGTTGCCCACCTGTCCTCAGTTTTTATGTTCCTTGTCCTCTCTTATAAGACATACCTTGATTAGTAAAGCCTACTGAGGTGAGGAATCAAAGCCAGTCTCACTCTTTTCCATACAACCTTGTTGAAATTCCTGTAAACTTAATTTTAACTACCTAAACTTGATTGAGAAACTAAATGTATTTTCTTTTTAACAGGATCAGGATTTATCTGTGAAACTAAAGAAAACTCCTGGGATTCCTCTCATGTTCATCATTCAGAACACTATGGTCTTGGACAGGCCTTCTCCCAGAACAGTGGCCTTTGTGAAGGCTGTTGAGTCAGGCCAGCTGGTCTCAGTGCACGAGAAACAAAGTATCAAGCAACTGAAGGAGGAGCAAGGCTTAGTGAGGAGCCGGGAACCTAGGAGGAGGAGGAAAAAGAAGGTAGGCGGCCCCAATCCTCTCAGCTGCTTGAAGAAAAAGAAGAAAGCACAGGACACAAAGTCACCTGCTTCAGAAAAGAAGAGGAAACGGAACAGAATCCGGAACAGATCTACCCCGAAAGTACTCCCTGAGCAGCAGGGCGTGGAAGGATGATGCTTGCTGGGGATGCTCTGGAAGGCGATGAGGAGACTCATTTCCTTGAGAACTGTGAAAGAGTTTACAGCAAAGACTAGACTTATTTTTCTAAGTTAATACTGGCTCATACACTTTTGCCTAAATTAAAGAGTGGTTGGGTTTCTTTATTACCATTCTTCTTCAGTTGCTTTGAGAGATGTTTTATTATAAAATTATTGTCTCCTGTTTCTCCACTCCCACCTCCCAAGTGGTATGTATGTGTATAGTGTGTGCATTAGTATGTGTTTACATACGTGCATGAGCTTTTGTGTGTGTGTGTGTGTGTGTGTGTGTGTGTGTGTGTGTGTGTGTGTTTGAAAGAGAGAGAGAGAGAGAGAGAGGATGCATGAAGACATGAGGCATCTTCCTCTGTCACACTCTACCTTTAATTTTTGAGACAGGGTCTCTCACTGAACCAGTAACTTGCCAGTGAAGTGCAATCATTAACTCAAAACTAATTATCGGTACTAGGCGCACCTAAGATAGGCCTTATTAGCAGTCACAGTGCAGGGAGGGGCTTGTGGGGCCTACCATTTACTTCTGAACCATTTGCTAGTGAAAGATTCTTAGAGAGGGGGAATCATGTTCATTGACACCATGCCCCAAAGGATGCCTCAAACAGGTGGTCACACAGACAGACCTGGTTAATCATGTGGGTCACAATGAGATTTGTGGGAAGGGGGAGGCTGTGGGCAGGGAGAATGGAGGCTGAAAGGAGAGAGTGGCCACTGTCCATTTATCCATTTAGTAAAATTGTCTAAACAATTTAAAATGATGAAAAAAAAGTCCTGGCTAAATTGCAATGCGTCTCCGTTTGGTTTCAGAGTACCCAGCATGTAATGTTAACTTAATCTTTCTGAAATACTGCCACCCAAATACTACATTATAGGAACATTATATGGGAGTTTTCTCCTTGGAGGGGGCGAATTGACTGACTACACCAACAGCCCCCGAAAATTTGAAGTGAAAGGTTGAAGAGTCTGTGCCAAGGCTATCATGACGTTTGCTCTTCTCTATGTAGAGATCTTACCTGTGCCTCTACGGCAGCTAATTCTGCCACTTGGATAAGATGCCTGTGAGCAGGACGTTCCATCAGTAGTGTCTGTCAGCTTAGGTTAAGTCCAGACATCGCTGTACTCCTGAAGTAGTTCTTGATTAATCACTCTGTGCAAACCATAGACTTAGGTACTAAGGTTACTCTTTAAGAGTGTTTGTGGTTTAATGGAATGTATGAACAGGACCAGCCTTGGGAAGATGGGGTGGTCGAGTCCCTGCCTAGCCTTGTGAGACAAGAATTCATCTCCTGGCCAGGCAGTGGTGGCGCACACGTTTAATCCTAGCACTTAGGAGGCAGGAGGATCTCTGAGTTCGAGGTCAGCCTGGTTGGCAGAGAGAGTTCCAGGACAGGCTCCATAGCTACACAGAGGGAAAAAAAACGTGTCTTGAAAAAACAAAACAATAAAAAAGAAAAGAAAATTATCTCCTGCAAGAAACACACACGCTTGTACACTTGGAATAAAATGAATTTTTTTTTTAACTTAGAATGCAGCAAGTCCTTAATGCTAGGAACCATCTTTCTAGCTCTAGAGCAGCTATTTAGCTAGTAGTGGACGAAAACAGTAAGACTGCTTAATTTAACTGTCATTACTGAAACTCCAAATACCCCTTTAGTCTACATTTCAGCTCGTCCATTGGACCCAGTTACCAGTTTCCTCTCACATTGGGAGTCAAGTTTAGAGTCCAGTAGTGCAGCAGGCTTGTGAACTCCCTACTGTTTCCCCCCAGTTCCAGCACTGATGATTGTCGGACACACTTAGAAAGTGCACGTGTCACCAGCCATTGTCTCTCGTGTATAGATTCAGGGTCATTCGGGTGGGAAAAGTCAAGTGGAAGTTGCTGGGTTGCTCCATCCCTCAGGAGAGCAAATGAAGAACTAGGTCCTCATGGGCAGAGCAGCACAGATCACTACCACGGTTGCATGCTTGAGTAAGTGCTGGTTTCAGGAGAGGAATAGATAGACTAAGGAGGACTAAGAATCTGCCATATTCGACACAGTAAAGTAACGAGTCCTTAATACAAATAGATGCAGAAGAACAAATAATCCAAGGACGAAAACAACAACAAAACAGCAGGGATGAATATGCCTCCCCTCTACGTCATTTCTCTCATGTGATTGTTACAGGGAGGGAAATTCTAATTAACACTCATGGACTTCCTATCTGTCATTTATTTCTTCTGTCTCATAAGTATTGTGATCCCCCCCCCCCCCTTTGACCTAATGCAGAGGTTCTAATTGGTCCATCCTGCTTCTCTCCTCTGGAGTTTGGGTAAGGCGGTCAGTTCCCCTTAAATGACGTAACGTGAGACCGGACAGGGGACAGTTGACCAATACCAGGACCATCCAAGACAGTCAAAGACAAGCCAGGCCAAAGTCCCATCCGCCACTGTTGTCTTCACAAGGTGTGAGGCACTGTCTGAACCAGTTCTTCCTCCCAGAATGGTGCTCGCGAGGCGAGAAGACAGACGGTAGAGCGAGAGTGAACACGCATCAGTAAAGGACGTGTGGAACAGAACAATGGCTAGTGCTAACAGGACCACACAGAACCTAAAATTGGGCACTGAATATAAACAGACACCATTACAAAGAAATCTGCCAATGGCTCCTGAGCACATGTGAAGATGCTCCACATTATTAGTCATCAGAGAATGGAAAGTAGACGGCGACAAGATGCCACCTCCAGCCTAGCCGGACTGCTATAACCTGACAGACAATAGCAAGTGGGCGAAAAGGAAACAAACAGAAATATCATATGTTGCTAGTGTAATTTCAAAATGGTACAACTCGTCTGGAAAAGAGGCAGGCAGAGGTTCAAGTTGTTAAACATGTACTTACAATGTTATCTGGTAGATTTCCTCCTAGGTGTGTGTTTCAGAGAAATTAAACAGTTGTCCAAATAGAAATTATGGGTAGTGGCATTTCGTTTGTATTTTAATAAATAAAGCTTGCCTGAAGTTCAGAGAAGTGGAGCAACCACTCTGGCCAGCCCTACAGACCAGGCAGCAGTGACACACACCTTTAATCCCTGTAGCCACACTAGCTTGCCATAGAAACCAGGCGGTAGTGGTGCATGCCCTTCATCCCAGAACTAGAAAGAATTATAAAATGGGAGGCGACAGCTCTCAATCTCAGTCTCATTCTGAGATTCCCAGAGGCAGGATCGCCATTTTTGGACTGAAGTAGAGGTAAGAGCAAGTGGCTGGCAGTTTTCCTTTTCTGACCTTCACGTTAGCTTTATTTATTAAAATACAAATGAAATGCCACTATATTTCTCTTTTTTGTCTAAAATAAAAAAAGCAATAACTAATATAAAAAACTATATATAATAAGTACAATAATTATATGCAACATATACAGGCAATAAATACATCAACAATGTCTAGTCTGTTAGCATTTAACAAATTTAGAGAAAATACTTCATATCTATTCTATCTTGGTGAGTTCAAACTTTGTACCTAATTTACTTTCTATCATCATTTGCTTTCTGTGTCGGGTAAACAAGGAAGACTATAACTATAACTCTCTAGTCTTCAACTCCCTCAGCAACCCAAGAAGGAAATAATATTAACTGAGTAAGCAGGAAGTGCAGGCAAGCAACTTCCAAAAACTGAGTAATGACAGAAACAACTGGCTGCCTGGACAGTCACCCAAAGTCCCTCTGCAATGTTGTGGCATCCAACTTCGGCCTACAGGCCTAGCATATCCTACAGACAGACTTTTTTGTGAGGCAGGATATTCTGAAGGGCTGTCTCCTTGTTTTGACAATGTTTGGCAGTCACTTTCTGTTGTGTCCTGCTGGTCTAATTAGGATAGCACACTGTCAGCAGTTGAGGCAGGGGCATTTTCTTTATTTATTAAAATACAAATGAAATGCCACTACACTTATATGCAAAAATTCACAGTGGCATTATTATTAATAAGAGGAGAACATCATCACAAATGCCCACCAATTGACAAACACGGTGTGATGAAATGGGGTACTGCATGGCAGTAGAGAAGAAATACAAATGGGCTGGTGAGATGGTTCAGTGGTTAAGAGCACTGACTGCTCCTCCAGAGGATCCAGGTTCAATTCCCAGCACCCACAAGGCGGCTCACAGCTGTCAGTAACTCCAGTTCCAGAGAATCTGACATCATTAAACCAATGCGCATGAAATAAAGTTAAAGTTTAAAATAAAGAAGAGGGGCTGGAGAGATGGCTCAGTGGTTAAGAGCATTGCCTGCTCTTCCAAAGCTCCTGAGTTCAATTCCCGGCAACCACATGGTGGCTCACAACCATCTGTAATGAGGTCTGGTGCCCTCTTCTGGTCTGCAGACATACACACAGAATATTGTATACATAATAAATAAATAAATATTTTTAAAAAATAAAATAAAGAAAAAATACAAATATATACTGTGAGATGGTTGAGCCCTGAAAACTTTCTAACTGGAAGAAACCAAAAGATCAAATACTCTATGGCTACATTTCTACGGCTTATGCAGAATAAATGAATCTATAGTCAGAAAAGATTCATGGATTGCTAGGTCAAAGGAAATGGAGCAGGCAAGAGGGAAAGAGGCTGAGAGTTTTTCTGGGGGGCGGGTAATAAAAAGAGGAGTTGATTGTGCTACCTGACGCATTGCCTTGAGAATATATTAACATCATTTGATCTTGTATACCTAGTAATTAAATCATCTATTAAATGAATTATATATCAGTAAAGCTGTTTGAAAAATGTATCCATGCAAGGCATACTATGCAAAGGTATTCATGAGAAACCAAGGAGACTGAACAAAATATACTCTGTACTTAGGATGCTAAAGAAGAAAAGAGAATATATGTCATTGTTTCTGGTTTCTTTGAAGGAGAAAAAATGTTCTGATTTGTGTGTTTCTATGTTCTTTCTTTTCTTCCTGTGCACTAATCTCAAGCAAGTCTCTGCCTGTTTGATGCAGTCAGAAAGCTGCTGTTTCATTCGGTTGCCAGAATGTTACAGATAACCCACAAGTAGTAATTGCTAAAAAGATAAATCTTCCGAACACTTCTCATTTTTGCACAACCATTTCACAACGATGTTTTGGCCAACTTGA